AACTCCGTTCCTGTGCGTTCCTGCCCAAAAATAGCCCTGGTTATTGGCGAAGGTATAACGCTTGTGAAATGCATTTTTTTTCTTGGTGCAGAATTTTGATTTCGATTTGCACAACCCTATTTAACCCCAGCACAAGGGCGCTAAAAGGTGGAAGCTCCACCTACCTGGAGGGCAGGAACACGGCTCTGCTGGTTGGGAATGACCTTTAGTGAGACCGTTCCCTTGGTTTCTTTCTAGCAAATAAATGAAAGGGAGAAAAATCAGCCTCTGGAGCAGCTGGCCCCTTGACCAACCACAGAAATAGCCCAAGGACCCCAAACTTGTCTCAGCAGCTGGGACCCTGGGCTCACTTCTGGAACCACAGGGTTTCCCCACAGTTGCCCATATTCTTCCCCTCTCTCCCATCCCCACTTTAAACAACATGTCAATATATGACACTGCCTTCTACCCACCACTGGTCCATCTCACTCAGTCTTGTCTATCCCAATTGGCAGCAGTTCTCCCAGGCAGAGGAAGCTCTTTCCCCAGCACCTGCTACCTCAGGTTTTTTAGCTGGAGATGCTGAGGATTGAACCTGGGACCTTATGCATGCAAAGCAGATATACTATTCCAGAGCCACAGCCTGCCACAGGTTTAGCTGCAGGTACTAGCGAAGGATAAATCCTCAACTCGATGCTGTGACAAGAAGGAAGTTTTGATCCCTCATCCAGTTGCCCCAGGTACCTACCAGCATCTTCTGCAGTTGATCTACAGAGTGGTTAGTGACGCTTTTCCCATTGATTTCTAGGATTTCATCCCCCACATGAAGGGAGCCTGCCAGGGTAGGAAAGATGAGCTCGTGAAATGCAAATCCAAAGAGGAAGGGTCTGCCTACACAACAGACAACAACGTCGGTAACCCAAACTCTGTCTGTGCCAGCCACTCATGAATGTTGTTTTTCAAACAACAGGGGCTCTCAGGCATTACCCTGAAGCCCCCTCTCCCCCACCACTCAAGACCAGCCTTCTCTGTGGAAGGAACCAGAAAGGATTCCCGCTTGTGAACTTTCCCACCACCCTTCAAAGCCTGGTCAGAAAAACATGTCACTAGTAGCAAAAGAGAGCTAGTTGTTCGAACACTCTGGTCCCTGCCACATGGGGGAAAAAAGTCGGGCAAAAGTGCGGCTTTTAAAAGCCACACCAAAATAGGCACGCGGCAGCGGGATCATACAGATCCCGTGAGCCACGGTGCAATTGCTCCTCGGCACGATCAGATGCTGGGGAGGCCGGGGAGACAGCGACAGGAGGCTGCCGAACTGCGCATGTCTGAGCATGCGCAGTTCGGCCAGGAGCTGGGGATGCGCCAGCGAAAGGACGCGCCAGCGATCCCACGGCTGGTCTTGATGTGGCCTTGCAAGAAGAACCACCTTGGTAGGTGGTTTATTTTTGCTGTGTGTTTTGGGCGGAAGGGCCGGATCGGGGACGGGTGCGCAACACTTCCCAGATGTTGCGGTGGGATCGCGCCCGTTTGCTGCGCCCCCGATCCGTCCCTCTCCCGGCCCGAAACCTCTCGTGTGACCGCGGCCTCTGAACTATGTGGCTTCAAAGCCCAGTACAGATGACTCTCTACTGAAGAAGCAAACTATGAACTACATCCCTCTCAAGAACAGCATGCGTGCTCCTGAGACTCCATTTCATTAAAATCACTTTTGTAGCCACACCACCTGTAGGCTCTCACCTTAGCCTCCTGGCTCATTCTGCTTTTGCCAAAAGCCAAGAGTCTTCACCAGCCGGCAGCAGCTTGTTGCTACAAAGCCAACCGCTGCTCTCTGCCTGAGGCAGGACAATCTAATTCTCCTGGGTAGGAAGGATGGCGTAAACTATAATGAATGCAGCGAGGCTTAAGAAGCCCACTCCTTGATTTCTGACACCGGGAATCCTGTTCTAGGTTGAACTGCAGCAGCATTACACAGCATTTCTTAGCTGTCCTGCCCTGCTCCTAGCACCGAAATACCCTCACTTCTGAAGACGAGATATGACACACGAGCCGTGTGCACCTCCTGTTGCATCTAACAGGGAAGGGGACTGAAGTCTCCTTAAGAGAGGGTGCTGTGGGAACTAAAGTCTCCACAGCGTCGGTCATGAAAGAAAGAATTCTGTGCCTAAAATGTGATGCTAGCAAGCTGGAACTTCAGGGAGAGAGATTCTGCTCTGTGGCAGGGCTGGCATCTAAAGAAACGGATGCTGGCTCCCAGGAATCGGGAAGATATTTCCCAGGCCTCTTTACCTTGCCTGTGAATCATGCCCCCGTGGAGGATTCTGGCCACCATGCAGCTCTGCTTCTCATTCAGCTTCAGCGTGATGCCCTGGAACAGACAGGCAGGAAAGTCTGAGACAGCCTAGGTAAGCACTGCAGCGTGACAGGTGGGCTTCTTTGGAGAGCTCTTCCCAGGCCTGCCTGCATGCGGTTGATCTCAACAGCCCCACAATACTGTTCTGGGACAGAAGAATCAGGGCCCAACTCTGCCCTGATTCCTTTGTGCCAGGCAGAGCGGCTGACAAGTAACACTCCCTTCCTCTAGGTCCTTGCTTTGCCGTGTGAAGCTCCTTCCATGGCCACGAGAGTAAGCACAGCTCCTCTGCAAAGATCAGGATCATTCCTGGCTTGAGCCAAGGTACTGCGGTGAAACAGCTCTCACCACCTGAAGCCACAAGCACGAAGTTGTTCCCTCCCTGCCCCAGCTCACCATGGGCTCTTCCGTAACCTTCTCAAACTGGATGAATCTCATTTTCCGCACTTCCCGGCCATTTGCATGGGCTGGGCTACCCAGCACGGCTGAGCCATTGGTGTAAATATCTTCAGTGACAGCAGCATTCAATGGGGACGGGTTTGCCTGTAAAGGCAAAAGCAAAACCCAAGTTTAGGAGCAGCACCCAATAGGTCTCGCTCAGTCCTGGTCTCCATTTCTCTTCCCGACACAGAAAGGCCTTTAACTCAGCCTCCTTTCCCCATTCCCAGCTGTGAACCCATCACCGTTTTGACAGCAGCTGCCACATCTGGAATTCAGCGATTTTCAAGCTACGGGTGCTCCTGAAAACAAGAAGTCCTCCAGTGACCAAGTCAAATCAGGTAGCATGCATTTTTCCAAAATTCTGCACCATTAGTCTAAATCCTCCCTCAAGGAAATCTGGATTCTGCAACCTCCATTCAGCAAACTGCATTAAATGCCTTATTCATTTTGTACAATCTGTTCCACTGGTCAGAGGAAAGAGCCAAATCTATTTCCTTCAGCTTGCAGCTCATCTGATCTTGGCAGGAAGCAAACAGAAAACAGGGCATTTGGGTTGCTGGACAAGGGCAAACTTATTTATAGCTCTCCTGTCTTCTGTGAAACTCAAGGCAGCATCCATTAAAGTCTCACATGGTCTCCCATCCAAGCCCTGGCAAGGCCTATACCTGCTTAGCTTCAGCAAGGTAAACCAGAAAACAGGTTGACACTCAGCGCTTAGGATGAAATGAAACACAATTTATTTTATAATAGCTAATAACACATCCACACTGTTACATATTCTGTCTTTCATATGCACACCCAAAATACAGAAAAAAGTGAGTTGACGGAACTCCCCAGAGTTGATTTTCGTTTTGTTTACAACTTCATCCGAACATACTGAAGCACGGTGGTAGTCTCTCTTGAAAATCTACTATTCATAGTGTCTTCACATGGCATTCCATGCCATGATTTCAAATACTAGAATGTATCCTCATCCATTTTACTGGAGAATCTTATCCCGGGCATACAAACAGATCAAATCAACTCCGGGGAGTTGTATTTCATTTCATCCTAAGCGCTGAGTGTCTGCCTGTTTTCCGGTTTACTAGTTGTCTTGGGCTGTTTCCATTTATATTACTGTGTAGCTTCAGCAAGGTAGCTGCATCATATGCTGTCAGGCTATTCCATGAGGCCTTCTCACTCACATTTCTTCTCTTCCATAGTGGGTTGGGGGAAAGGGACTACGAAAGAACAAGGCATGATTGCAAAGGGTTAGTTGTGTCCCATTCATGCCACTGCTCCAAAGAGATATACCCACTGCAAGCCCACACCATCTCCCAACCAACGGAAATGCTTCTAAGCCAAGCACAAAACCGGGTTTCTGAAATTCCACCCACATGCCATCAAACCCACCCACAAGGACTAGAAAGCAACATGAAAGCTGAAGTTCCCAGGATGGAAATGCTTCTAAGCCAAGCACAAAACCAGGTTTCTGAAATTTCACCCCCATGCCATCAAACCCACCACAAGGACTAGAAACTTGCTTAAAAAAAGCAACATGAAAGCTGAAGTTCCCAGGATGTACCATTGTGGGCTCCGAGCCCAAATTCTGTGGTTGCATGGCATTGCACAATGCCCACAACCCTGGCCATGAGAGCTTATCCCGAGAAAAACAATCCAAGATGTGAACCAGCTCTCAAACCTGACTTTCTGTGTGGCAATACTTCCTCCCCTGCAATCCTTGGATCTGACCCACAAACACATAAAGAGAGAAGGACCGCTACCACCTCTGAAACCCTTGCCCAAACCTGCATTCTAAAGAACACCCCCTCGCCGCCGGTTGGATCACTTTTGCACAGGCTAGATCTTGCTCCTCTCTTATCTCCCGCAATCAAGCAAAGGAGCCATGATTCAGCCTGCTAAGGAGCAAAACAACAGAGAGAGAACAGGAGAAAGCTTGCTCGTCTGCTACTGGAATGGCCTTATCATGGGACTCCAAGGTTGCTCTTAGCTGGTACTCAGCAACACCTCCTGTGAGCTAGCTCACACTAACTCAGCTTAGAGGGAACCCTGACGATAACTGTATTTACAGTTTTCAATTGCGAGGGGATTTGTTGGCAGAACTGTTCTAAGCCTGTCACCTGTTTTAGTTCTTCAAAGGTTTTGGCTTTGCTTCCTTCAACCCATCTATTTAAGGCTCTGTACAAACAACAGCCTAGTGAGGGAATATGTCTCTCCTGGTTTTCTCTTCATGTCTCCGAAGGCTTTTTTTGCTTTGCTCCGCCATCAGGCCAAAATGAATTCTAACTCTCTCTTTAAGTAACGGATCGTCTGAGGTTTCATCATCCCTCATTTCAGCATAAATTTCACTCAGAGCACCACATCGCTCCAACTACCTCCTTCTCTCTCTCACAGCCTGCCCTGAACTGTCCAAACTGACTCTCCAGCCGTCAAACTGACAGCACCCAGGTGGCGCTGACCAATCAGAATGCAGCAGCCTTCTGCCTGCATTCCAACTGCCTGCATGCCAAGGAAAGTTAACCTGGCTTCCCATTTTCCTGCTCTCGATATGGTTTTTAAACACCTCCATCACAGCAGCCAATGTGTACAAGCAAAAGTCAGGATTGCGAAAGAGAAAAGAAAAGGAAGAACGACTGCACTGTGAGAAAAGAGGTCAGCAATGCAGACTTTATTTCAACTGGGTACTGGTGCCCGTGTGAATACCAAAAGTGTAAATGATAGCATAAGCTCTGCTTCCCAAACTGCCTGTGAATTTGACACAACGATGGACATCGATCTAACTTGACAAATGCTCTTTGCACGAAGACGAAGTTGTTCATGAACCAGAACCAGCGGTCGAGATCAATCTGTCTGACACAAGCCCGCCTAGTCAGGATACATGCCACTGGTAGATCCTCCTTGTGACTATATCATGGAATGTGATCTTGGGTTGTGGCCAGCTGCAACCGAGGAGATGCGAGATTACTGGTCTAGGAAAGGGAGTGATGAGTGCCACAATGAAGATGGCACTATCATAAACTGAACTCAAGTGGATGGAAAGTAAAAGCGATATTTTTGCAGTTCCATATTTTACTGTCGCCTGTCAAATGGAGAGATGAAAAAGAGAAACTGGCTGTGCTATTCACCAAGCAAAGGTAAGGCATTTTGTTTTGAGTGTAAACTGTTTTCATCAGATGACAATGCCTTTGCAGCAAGTGGTTTCTCTGATTGGAAAAAGGCAGCAAAACAAATGTCAGCACATGAAACCAGCAAGGCCCACAGAGAAGCCACTATCACCTTCTGCCACAGAGCAAAGGAATCTGGCCGTGTACATACCCTTCTGGTTAAGCAATGCGAAGCTGAATGAGCTTATGTGGGATCTGTACTTCAGTGAGTTGTTGCCACCATCAGGTTTCTAGCTGAACGTGGATTTGCTTTTAAGGGGAAACGACCAGGTGATTGGGTCACCAACCAATGATAACTTTTTGGGCACGTTGAAGCTGCTGTCCCATTTTGACCCCTTTCTAGCCACACATTGAAAAGTACGCTAATAAAGGGAAAGGTTCGGTTTCCTACCTGTTTTCCTCCACATGTGACCAACTCATAGGTATTATAGGAAATAAGACACTAAACACTATTATTGAGGAAATAAAGGAAGCCAAATTTTTGTCGACTCTACCCAAGACACAAGTCATGTAGATAAATTATGTTGTATCTTCCGTTATGTTCTTGGAAGTGAGCCGGTTGAAAGGTTGGTTCAGTTCATCAAGATGAAGGGCCATGATACTGCAGAGCTTGCAGAAGGTATCTTTTGCTTTTTGGAAAAACATGACATTGACTTTGGTGACTGCAGAAGCCAATTGTACAATAACCCCTCAAACATGAGTGGCAAATACACAGGCTTACAAGCAAGAATTCGGGAAAGGAATCCACTTGCTGACTATATCCCATGTTTTGCGCATTCC